GTTCCTGGACCCATGAATTCTGGCTATTGGAGACACAGCACCATATATTGGCCACTGGTTGAGAGCAGGGATCTCACAACTACCAAGAAAAAAGAGCCTTTCTCAGAGTAATTGTTTTGGCTCCAGATCCCTGCACACAGCGGTGCTGGCAGCAAAGGTGGAAGCAGAGGCAACAACAGCAGCATCAGAGGCGTTGGTACTGAGAGCACTGAATCCCGGGCAGAGGACTGCAGCCACCTCACCCAGAGAATGGGTAATGCTGAGGGCCTTTTGCCATAAAGCTGGCTTGCAGAGTACATGTGCTTGTGAATCCATCTGAGAGAAAGGCATTTTGTCATTCTTCCTGAGAATGGGGATATGTGTCTGAGAGAGGCCCAGAGAGAAGTGTGCCTATAGGCAAACCTGAGAAGCAGCCATTGTGACCAGTTAACGGTTGTCTCCTGATCATTTCTGACACTGTTCCCAAAACCACTGCTTTCAAGCCTATTCTGACTCACAGTGGCCCTACATAAGATTCCCATGGCTCTACAATCTTTACCATTGGAGAAATGATCCTCATTCTCCAGAGGGGTGCCTTGTGAGTTGGAATTGCTGGCTGGTTTGTTTCTCTAATGAACCTTGTAATTGTAAGTACAGCCTGAGTGCACTGTGGCCACAGTTACAGATTTTTGAACCTTGCAGGAAAGCTGAGTGCTCTGAGGGGGCAGGAGGAGTAAGACTGTGGGTATCAGGATCGGTTAGAGAAGGTCGGAGGATGGAGGCACGTCAAACTTCTGCATCATTGGAAATGGCATTGGGCTGATGGGTTTGATCCTTTTTCCCACTTGTGATGTCAAAAGAGGTCAGACACAGTCACCAGCGTTCCATGCACTGGCACACTTGTAACCCCGGCACAGACAGCAGAGTTCCAAAGGAGCTGAGGAGCCACCGGTATTCTCCAGCAGCTTTTGGTATTATTATTTTTCACTAGACATATTGGTTAAGAGTCTTTTTGCAGCTGTTTCTCTTTACCTTGAGTAGTTACAAATATCTCTCAATGATTGGAATATGGAATGTGTGAGGTATGAATGTAGGAGGGTTGGAAGTGGTCAAAAATCAGATGGAATGCATGAAGATCAATATCTTAGGAATTAGTGAACAGAAACGGACTGGTATTGGCCATATTGAATCATGAAAACATGTTATTTACTATGGTGGGAAGAACACAATCAAGAGGACTGGTGGGCCATTCATTGTCAGGAAGGGCATTGCAAAATCAGCAATGAACTACAATGCTGTTTGTGATAGGAGTATATCTATCGCCTTTAAGGAAATCCAGTCAATACTACGATTATTCTACTTGATGGACAAACAAAAAAAGTTAGCCATGAAGACATTTAAGAATTCTACCAGTGACTTTCAGCTTGAAATGGATCAGACATGCGTGCAAGATGAACTGATAGGTATTGGCGATTAGAATGTAAAAATTGGAACCAAAGAGGAAGGAGCAGTAGCTGGACAACATGGACTTGGTGACTGAAATTAAACATGAGGTTTCCCAATAAAAATTTGCAAAATCAATGACTTGTCATAGCGAATAACTGTTCTCAACAACACAAAAGGTGACTGTATGCCCGGACTTTCCATATGGAATGCCCAAAAAGCAAATTGGCTACATCTGAGGGAAGACATGATGGAGAAGCACAATATTAACGGTTAAAACAAGACCAATGGCCAATTGTAGAACAACTCATCCATCGCTCTTCGGCAAGTTCAGGATAAAGCCGAAAAATGGAAACAAGTCACCAAGAGCCAAAACACAACTTGGAGTCTATCCCACCTGAATTTCTAGAACATCCCAAGAACAGGTCGGACACATTCAACACTAAATGATAGAATACCTGATGAGCTGTAGGAGCACATCAAGACCATCATTCATGACCAAAGCAAAGGTCATAAAAAGACAGGAGAGAAAGAAATGATCAATGTGTGTGTCAGAAGAGCATCAGAAACTTGCCCTTAACCGCAAAATAGCTATGTTGATAAACAAATGGAAGAAAAACTGAAATCAAGGAGCCCAACAGAAAATTGCAAGTGGTAGCATGAAAAGATAAAGTCAACTATTATAACAAAATGTACAAGCACATAGATGAAGAAAATCAAAGGGAAGAGCATGCATGCTCAGCATGCCTGAAACTGAAAGAAATCAGGAAAAATATCAAGGTTCAAGTTGGAATCTTAGAACACTGTGCAGCAAGATATTGAATGATTTAGGAAACATCAATGGAAGATGGAAAAATTTACAGAAACAGTAGACCTCAAATAAGTAGTGGACATTCTACTATTTCAGGAGGTAGCATATAATCAGGAACCAATGTTGGTGAAGGAAGAAGTTCAAACTGCACTGAGGCAGTAGTCAAAAACAAGGCTTCAGGAATTGATGGAATACCCACTGAAATGTTTCAGCAAGGAAAAATAGCACAGAGAGCACTCATTCATCTTTGCCAGGAATTTTGGAAGACAGCTACTTGGACAACCGACTGGAAGTAATCCATATTTGTGCCCAGTCCAAAGAAAGGTGACCCAACACAGTGCTCAAACTAAGAGCGAGATCATGGATGTCACATGGCAGTAAATTTCTGCTTAAAACCATCCAACAATGGTTGCATCACTACATTGACAGGGAACTGCCAGAAGTTCAGGCTGGATTCAGAAGAGCACTTGCAAGCAGGGATATCATTGCTGATGTCAGATGGATCTTGGTTCAAAGTAGAGAACATCAGAAAGACGTATGCTTGTGTTTCATTGGTGATGCAAAGGCATTTATTTGACTGTGGGGACCACAATAAACTGTGGATAACCTTGAGAAGAATGGAAATTTCAGAACCCTTCCTTGTGCTCGTGTGAAACTTGTATGCGGATCAAGAAGAAGTTGTGGGAACAGAACAAGGGAATACTGGATGTTTTAAAATCAGAAAAGGTGTGCATCCGCCAGGGTGGTATCATCTTACCATCCCTGCTCAATCTGTATGCTGACAAATCATCAGAGAAGCTGGATTATGTGAAGAAGAATGTGGAATCAGAATAGGAGAAAGGCCTATAAACAACCTGCTACATGCAGATGAAATGGCCTTGCTTACTCAAAATGAGAAGGAATTGAAGCCCTTGATGATGAAGATCAGGGATTGTAGCCTTCTGAGTGCATTACAACTCAGTGAAAAGAAGAAGAAAATCCTCCCAACAAGACCAATACATAACAACATGATCAATGTTGAAAAGGCTGCATTTGTCAAGGATTTTGTCTTACTGGGATCCACATTCAATGCTCATGGCAGCAGAACTCAAAGGGTCAAAGACGTATTGCATTATGCAAATCTGCCAACATAAGACCTCTTCAGAGTATTGTAGAGCAAGGATGTTGCTTTGAGGACTGAGGAGTGCCTGACTCAAGTCATGGTAATCTCCACTGTAGCATAGGCCTGTGGATGTTGGATAGTGAATAGGGAAAACTGGAGAAGAATCCATACATTTGAATTGGGGTACTAGAGAGGAATGGTGAAAGTACCACCGACTTTTAAAAGGACAAACCGATGTATGCCTGGAAGAAGTCAGGCCAGGGTGCTCCTTAGAGGCAAAGATAGCAAGACTTCCCTTACATACAGTGGACGTGTTGTCAGGAGAGACCAATCCCTAGACAAGGGCATCATATTTGGTAAATTGGAAGGGGGTCCAAATGCAGATCGGTTGGCAAAGTGGGTGCATCAATGGGCCTGAGCACAGGAACTAGTGTGAGGATGGCATAGGACCCTCCAGTGTTTCTGTTGTGCACAGGTTCACTATGGGTCAGAATCAACTCGATGCCACCTCACATTTGTTGAGAGGAAAACTCTAAAATGTCTATTAAAAAATCAGTATATATTTCTTAAAAGTTCACGTGAATGTGTGCATTTAGCAAAATTTTCACAATATACTTTTCATTTGAAGATATACAATTGTCGACCTCATTGTTTATTTGTGTGTGTGTTTCTGTCTTATATTTCCCACACTGAAATGTTGGCACACTCTCATATACACATTTAATTTGTCCTCACTCAGGGTCTGAACTCTCTTAAGAAGTCTAGGTTGTTTCCAGGACTGAAAATTTCCAAAAAATTATGATTAATGTAGAGGCACCCAGTCATTGGTCTCCCCCTCCCCTTTACAAAGTGTCATTTTCGGAGACATTCAGAGCTTTAAAAAAAAGTGGCTATAACCATCAGAGGAAACACATACACACACACACACACATGCATACACAAACACATGCGCACATACATGAAAATGGCTTCCCCGCATGCCCACCCACATCTTATCCCAGGTAACTCTCAAAGGGTGTTATTTCCCTTTTATGTTCCAATTCTTAAAATATATACATTTATTCTTTCTGGAATGTCTATAGGTATTTCCTTTCAGTCTTTCCGTTACTTCGCCATAATTACAATAAGCCCATACAGCGCACCAAGA